TGCATTTAGCATTTTTCAAATGGCATCCTTTTTTTCTGGCGAGGCCTGTGCCAGGTCGTTAAGGTTGAGGGCTCACTGTTGTCATAACGCTACTACCTTTCTTGCCATTTGTGGTGTATATTAGTGCACATAATATATGATGTGAGATTGAAGTTCACTAGATTGGTCTGTGCTATTTTTTATGTTGCTTCACGATCTTGTTTCCGGGTATTCCTGTCCTTCGCCAGTTTTTTGGAGATTGATGCTGTCATCTGAGAGAGAGTTAGGTAGCTGTCACATAGCCTGTTTCATCTATCGTGTGTGCGCCAAAGTGCCCCTTTAGCTTGCTACCTGGATGTGTTTCCATGAGTGTGCGGTGGCTGGCGGATTGCAGCGTGGTGCGCGGTAATGTGGGTTTGTGGCTGCGCAGTGCAACTAGCAGGCAACGACACTAACGGTACACAGCAGGAGCTCTCTCAGGGGGATGTTCCCTTCTACGCTGGAGATGAAGTACCGTTGTCTGCAGAGGACTTCAATCCAGAAAGAGGCCTCTGTAGGGAACTTAGCTCAAAATGGTTGGCCCCTTAGCAGATCACGTCATATCATTTCTCAACTGGACATGCTCAAAACTTTGCCAAACACACAGTGAAACACAACGAAACACATAGCAAACTCAGACCTGAAAGCACTCCACATAGCCTCCGAGATGAAAATCAATTGGTAGAAAACGGTGGGGTGGTGGCTGGCAGACTCGCCCCTGCCCTGCCCAGAAATCATGCCGGTGGGCTTCAGCTGGCAGGACAAAAGAATCCCCCTGAGATTCCTGGATATCAAGCTAATGGACGACAGGCTGAACCGGGGAATGGCACCAGAAATATTGGCGAAAATGCTTGCTAAGCTGGACGCTTGGACTAACGCCTATACTTCAGTCTTTGGCAGAGCGTTGATACTAGATGCATCCATCTTCTCCATGCTCTGGTACACTGCGACGATCTGACATCAGAACTCCACCTGAGGAAAACCCTCAAAAAGAGGGTGATGGCTTACCTCTGGACTGGCAATCCTGCAAAACAGAACTTAGTCCCCAAGGTGGCTTGGAAATACGACGTTCTACCTAAAAGTAGGAGAGGATCTGAAATCCTGGACCCGGAAGCACAGACGAAGGCTCTGCAGACCAAATGGATTATTAAACTGCTGACTCAGCACAACCTGCTGTGGATGATGTTGGGGTCTCATAGAATCAGGCAGAGGTCTCATAGAATCAGGCAGCTACTGAGATATGCTACACCAAGCAACATGCACAACCTTTTGTGGGTAATGGCCAAATCCTGGGCAGTGCGAAGAGGAGCAGCAGAGGACGATCAACAGCAGGGGCATCACCAGGCAACTCACCTAGAATACTTGAAACACCTTTTGCTGCTGGCAAGAAATCTTCCTGAGGAGTGTCAAGCAACCGGCGATAAAGGAGGAGGTGCTAAGGCAACCTCTTTTCTGCAATCAGTGGCTAAAGGATATGTCAGGGAAGCCCTGGACCTCGGTGGGACTCATGGTCAGAGAAAGGAGTATGGCAGATAACACACATCTGGGACGAAGACCAAGAGCGGTGGGCAACCCCTACAGAACTTGGGGAACTCCTCAAGGAGTGTCATAACCTGCAGCAGAACCTGAATGACCGGCTAGTCTTGGTTCGGCCAGCATGGACGAGGCTCCTCAAAAGAAGACCTACCTGTACAAACTGCGAGTGGGCAAGTTGGGATTGGGAGGATTCCCCATCCGTGGCCTTGTCCTTCATCCAAAGAGAAGGGCCAGCAGAGGGGTGGTGTCTGATGGGAATGTATGACATTGAAGACTGTGCCAAACAGTTAGCCTCGTTAACAAAACCTGTTGGGCACAGGTCACAGTGAAGGAAGACCTGCTCAGGAAAATCAGGGTACGGCGAATACAAGATCTATGAACCCGCCACACCAATCCTTGACTTGGCGTTCGATCCGATGGAATGGGCGTGGAAGCTATCCACAAGAATAGGCGGTGGTGGAGCATAGGATCAGTATTCTACTATTCTCAACTACACCATAAGACTCGACTATCAGCTTTAAATTAGAAGAAGATCGGCAAACATTGAGGAGACATTGGTGCAACGACGGGAGAAGCATGTGCCAAGGGGACTCAGGCGTCTACCCAAAATACCGTGGAAGGTGGTCTTCGCAATCTGCAATAGTAGAGACAGAAGCATGCAATGGCTCATCATCTACCAGGCCCTGCCAGTAGACAAATGGCTGAGTAAGCGAAGGGCTCGAGCCCACACGGACGTGAATCAAGAGAGCTGCGCAATCTGCGACAGGGGAACAACAGAGGGCATCATCCATTGCTTGCTGCAATGCTCAATCACCGAACAGCTGTGGGGTAAGGGTAGGGAGTTATGGGAGGATGCCACAGACAAGGTATTGGATGAGGACAGGATGACCACACTCACGGGCTTCATGGAACCTGGGGGGCTGGAAAACTGGGGGAAAAAACTTCATAGGAGACTCAGACTGCTAATGCTTTGGACAGTCTGGAAAAAGAGGGGCGGGAGGAAGCATCGGAAGGGCTGATGCAAGCGTGTGACGATCTATCTTCTGATAGGCGCGACTTTCTGCACGATTGAACCTTGGGGGGGTGTGGCATACTGCGCAGCCACACGGGACTGTAGGGCCCGACCCGATGGAAAATAAGGGCCTTCCAGGCCCTGTGTCGTTTCAGCCTAAAAAGGGCCCTCCAGGCCCTGAGTCTTTTCAGCCTGAAACGGAGGGCCATTTTCAGGCCCTCGTAAGGTCGACCTGCCCTGAAACTTAGGCACCAGACCAGGGTTTTAGCACAGGCCATTTTTGGGCCTTTTTCAAGACAGTCGTTGTTTGAACTTCAATGCCAGGGTCTGCACGATTCGGCATGGGCAAGAGCAGCCTCCCAGGCCGGACCAGCACTATATAGTACTGGTCCACCCTGCAGTTCACAGGGAGTTCATAGGGACTTCCCAGGCACTTCACGTGCAGGAGGCAGGAGGCAGTCTTCAGGATTCGGCAGCAGCACTCTGGAGG